CTTAAATAGAAAAAGTTGAAAGTTGACATCCTTAAATAGAAAATGTTGAAAGTTGACATCCTTACTTAAAAACTGACAAAGTTAACATCCTTATTTAGAAAAAAATTGAAAGTTGACATCCTTATTTAGAAACTGACAAAGTTAACATCCTTAAATAGAAAAAAGTGCAAAGTTGGAATCCTTATTTGCACCTTTACTCATCTGTTTTTATACTTTTAAATTGAATGAAATTAATTTTTCTATATTTTAGATGAAATAAATTAACCAAATTTAACATGGCATGATTATATGTTATCATTTATCTTTTCCCTTCCATATCCAAGTCTTTTTATTATATGTTATAACACAAAGCAGTTGCGTAATTATTGATTACTTTATAATAATCAACTAATTTTGCGTTTTCTTATTGTAACTTCATTGGATATTTTTTTGCAGATTCATTTCATTGGCATTTGCCAAGCACCTTCCAAGAAATTTTCAGCTATAATTTGGATAAGTTCACTCCTCTTCTGCTTAGCCGGCTCACTTTTTATCATCTCACATAATTAGCCTTGCAATTGAATTGATTTGCTACTACTTCTGATTCTCTTGGGCTAGCTTACTTGGTTATCAGTATCCATTTTCTGCAATATCTTCAGTGACATACAGGTACACCATCTAGATTTTCTATCTTGATTAATTTATATTCTCTTTGAGATATATATGAAACTATCTAATTTTTTTCAAATGCGCATGACCTTATTAGTAAAGACTCTTTACTCTGATTAGGATATTCTTCATTTTTAAATTGTTTTTAAATTGACTTTATAAGCTGATGGGCGGCCACGGGTAACTTGGTTGGCTTAATTTGGTTATCCACATCCATTTCTTCAATTTCTTCTGCTAAAATTGTAGGTAACACTAATTATCTTGATCTTTAATCGTGACTCTGTTGTGTCCTCATTGAAGTATGAAGGTGAATGGCCTAAATCCAATCTTTAGGTGACTCTGTTATCTAAGGAAAGATCCAATTAATTACACCACTAGAAAAATGGCTATATAGTGTCAAATAGTTAATATACGATATCAAAAATTAATTGACATAAGATTAGTGTTGTCAAATGCCTACATAAAATAAACTTGTATCAAATAATATTTTACACTGCATTCAAAAAAATTATAAACATTTGAACCTGACCCTGTGGGCCAAGTGGCTCTAGTTACTTTTGTAAGGTTCATATCTCCCTCCCCAAGGACAACGGTTCGAGCCGATCCGATGACTAAAATGTTCAAAATATATATATATATATATATATATAT